CTATCTACAATCAATCGATACAAAATCAAATGTCAAAGTGTGAATGAAGAAAACAATAATTATAATGTAAATAAATAACAATAAAAACTTTGTAAACTGTACAGTTACGTACAGAATGTAACTGTAATCGATTGTAACATGTAATCAGATGAAAAAATATGTTGTTTAATATATTTATGTATACAATTTGTTGGTGGGCAAAGATAAATAAAAAAATAAAAATATGGACATGAACATATTGTTATCATTGATTTGATACTAATCATCACCACAAATCGGTCTCGAGTTGCTACATCAGATAGGGAAACTAAACCACAAAAGATAATGAATTATTTTGTACGATAATGTAAGCCAAAATATAATTAAGTATTCAGTGATAATATACCTATAATCAAAGCTGAGAAACAGCTGAATTTATTAGGTTAACTGTTATGAATATTTTTTAGAAACGATCAATCAAATCATTGGTGCCGTAGTGAGCACCTCTTAGTTAAAAGACGTGATATTATGCTATTATGTTTATTCAAAAAACTTCCCCAAAGACAATACACAAAATAGTTGTTATTAACAAACAAATTAAACTTACTTTTCCAGTAATCCATGATGGAGAATACGACACTCTCTATGAAAGCATTATCCCAAGGGTCAGTTGGTACTAGATCTGTTCCTCTTGCCACATACTTGGTGATGGCCAGGCTTTGAGTAAGAACACGGCCATCTTCTTCGTATACTGGGAACTGACCATAGGGAAGACCTGAAAGGAAGGGTAAAGGATTTTCATCAATTTTACTATCACCATCATTAGTTTAGATCCAGTCTAAACTCAGCCACTGCTACTAATAAATAAATAGGCCTATCTCGAAAATTCGTTTATTTTGATTGTTAACATAAATGTCGTAGTGGCTCGGGGGCTTTAGACACCCCTTTCATCTAAGATGGTGCGTTTTCCAAATTTACCAACGGCAAGTACCAATATGCCTTTTCCGAGTTGTATGTACTTTCTAACATGATTCAAATACTACTGACAAACATGGTACTTATAATTTTTAATTATGAGTTTGAAATCGCTAACTCGCATTGAACAAGCGTGGTGAATAATACTCAAACCTTCTCCGTGCTAGAAGAGGCCTTTGGTCAGCAGTGGGCACTTATAGGCTGTTGATGTGTAATGTAAACATCTGATGTTTAACCTAACTTTACATTATATGACAAACTATACTATATGGCTTCTTATGCCAAGCAGAATGTAAATTGTAACTGTTTTTAATAGTTATTGTATAGTTACAGTTGTCTAAACTAAAAATATTAATACGGTTTTTAATTTGAAAAAAAAATCGAAGCAAACCTGCAAATAAGGTACTTTTCTTAATCAGAAATAAATTATTTCAACTTTTCAATAAAATAAGATATCAAAAAAAAATCGCACTTTCATTAACTGATTTTATGACCAACTTCATTTTAGTATTTTTCCAGTAATTTTTTGAAAAATAAGTATGTTGTCTGACGCTACAAAAACGTGACGTCACAATACACATTCTCATGGAAAACTGTCGTTTTTGATAGTTCGAAAAAAGAATTCTATATTGAATTTGACTAGATGTCAAGTACCCAATTGTTAGAGTTGTTCATTATTATATAGATAAAACTCCTAATCATAAATAAAACAAAGATTTATTATCAAAGAGTAGGAAGGTATGATGGTTTTAGTCAATTTTTATAAACAAACATTATAAAATATTACTTACTTGCTTTAATTTTCGGGTCTGGCCAACTGTACACATCGTATCTAACATCCTCAAACTCTTGATTGGTGTAATGAAGAATGTACCTTATGGGTTCGGCAAGACCGTTCAAATTGAAGTACGATAATTTTTTCGGCATTTTGACCTTGAATAATGGGCGCCGTGCTTGTGTCAATTGCGGTAGTCACTGCTAGACTGGTGTTCGCTTAAAAAATTGTGTATATTTATATTATTATCAACAGATGACGGAGCATAATTTTAAAATATTTGTAGTATAACATTTTCCGGTTCATTTTTGTATATCATCATGTCCACACTATTCTTGGTTTTGATTCGTGTGTAAAAATCCTCCAGTTTAGTGTGTGTTAGTTATATGGATATATATTTTTATTAACACATGTAGTTAACGGTAGTTTGATAAGTAAAACAATTATAAAGAAACTGCATGATTTTTTACTTAAAATTTTGATAAGTATTATTATAAATGATTTCGAATTTTAAAAAGTAGAAATGCACGAAGCTAATAAATAAATTAGAGGCACCATATTATAGAAATTTTTGGAAAATATAGAATTGCTTACACTGTTTTGACTGCCTCGTTGGCCGAGTGGTCGCAAGTGCGACTACTGGGCAATGGGTCTAGGGTTCGATTCCCGGGTCGAGCAAAGTATTACTGGGATGTTTTAAATTCTCAGTAGTAGTACGGAGGCTGGAATTGTGCTTAGTATATGGCAATAGGCTCACCCCCCGTTACATGGGACTCATAGCATAAATAGTGAAGAGTGGATGTTACATTGAACAGTGACATTAAGTGCCGTAATGTGCACCTCTGCATACCCTTTCAGGGATAAAAAACGTGATGCTATGTTATGTTTAAAATATAGCAAAAAAATATACTTTGCTGGCTGTATTTACTTTTATCAAGGTTTCATACTGAGAATAATAAGTATTAATAATGTAGATCAATATATTTTTGTAGACACAATATTATCGTTATTGAGAAAAGCAATGCTGACATTGACATTACATTTATGTAAACAAGGCTAGGTTTATGACCTATGGTTATTAGACTAGTTATAAGATCCGACTTCGGTATTAAAGTTAAGTGAAGCGATTTTTTTATGTTCTAGAAGATGAATGAATGAATAGAAGATGAAAAGAAGAAGATCAATGATTCTCGGGTAGGGCAAAGAATACTGGGTTTTTAAAAAAATTCTCAGTCATAGCACGGACTCTGGAATTGTGCCCGGTATATGATAATAGGCTTACCCCCTATTACATGGGACTCATAACATAAATAGTGAAAAGTGGTTGTTACATTGTACAGTGGTATAATGTGCACCTCTGCCTACCCCTTCGGGAATAAAAGGCGTGACGTTACGTTATGTAGAAGATGAATAAAAATATTGGGCATGCTTTTCGTTAATAGTTTCTCATGACGTCACTTCTGTCTTAATTTAAATCTTCTTCTACATTACTTATTTAAGCAGCCGTTTATCAAAAAAGTGCCGTTATATTTTGCCGATTTTTTAAAGAGTCATTTCAGATTGTGATTCAACTCTACGATTTTTATTAAAGCTTTTGTTTACTAATTTCCTATTGTCTTCCTTATGTCGTGTTGGCCCGGAGGTTAAGACGCCGCTTCTCATGCATGAGAGCACCCTCAGGGTGCGAAACCTACCAACGGCAAATACCAATGTGACTTTCTCCGAGTTATATGTACTTTCTAAGATTATTTAGACACCAGTGACAAACGGTGAAGGAAAACATCGTGAGGAAACTTAGACTTATGATTTCTAATTATAAGTTTAAAATCGCCAACCCGCAATGAGCTAAATAATTAATGCTCAATCCTTCTTCGTGTGAGAAGAGGCTTTGCTCAGCAGTGGGCATTTAATGGCTGTTGATGATGATGGTTGATGATGAATTTCCTATTGGAATTTGGTAAAACTTTATGAAGTTTTGTAATAATTATTGCAGTGTAGCTTACAATAAACAGACATAAAAACACAGTTAGAGATACGATATAATAATATGTATGATAGCGATATCTTTGTATAGTCCCAATGCTGATGAAAGTGTAAACAATATAAAATCAACAAATTTAATTATGCAGTTCTCGGCGTAGTAATATATACTAGCTTTTACCCACGGTTTTGTATGTACATATTTTGAGACATACTCTCTTATTACTCCTTTATAGTTTCTGTAAAGTTAGTTATAGTAGTTCAGTAGTCGTAGGACAAAAGACAGAGGGATGAGCAAAAGTTGGTATACCATAAATAAGAAGCTCAATATCCTAGATCGTTGCAGTTGTTAAAATCATACATCATGGTTAGAAATGACTATGGTCTATGAGCATGACGGTCTACATCCTTGTAAGTAGTGGTAGGTAAGTAAATTAGAACGAAACTTTATTTATAGGTACAATTATTATTCTAGTCTCACTTTCATCCACTGCAAATAATAAATTGGTGTTACAATTTATTTATCTCCAGAATTTCAATCAAGTAAAGGTTAAGCGATTTTATTTGTAAAGGTTAATTTGATAAATGAATGTATAAAAGCGAAAGTGCTTTTTTCATTCATTACTTCGTCAGTTTCCATTGTTGTTGACACTATGGCTCCCGTTTACCAATTGAAGTTTTTTAATTTTATGGGCGTTGCTGAGCCCATTAGGTACTTATTTGCCTATGGAGGTATCAGCTACAAGAATGTCGAAGTCAACAAGGATTCGGACTGGCCAGATGTACAGAAATGTAAGTTTTTATTTTCATTTTCTATCTTACTAAGTATTAGGAGTAAGTTTATTTTATTGGATAAGCTGATAGACGAGCAGACGGATCATCTAATAGTAAGCAATCGGTGTCGCTATTGGACACCTGAAATATCAGAGGCGTTACAGGTGCGTTACCGGCCTTTTAGTGATTAGGAATTTAAGAGATCTTGGGATTCAGGGATTAAGGAGGGAGAGAGGTAAGTCTCGTTGTGTTGTCCCGTCATGATACACAATGGGATTAACTTTTGGGAGTAACTTCAAGTTACCAAGTAAAGTAGTCACAAATGCAACTACGTGTTTTCATGGTTGTATCTACTGTAGATCCTGGCTTACAGGAGTTGCAGTGGTTTTGAGCGGTTGTGGCGGGCTAGTCCCAAAAAAAGTGCAAACCGACCAAAGCGTTTTTAATATCTAGTATTCACAATAATCGATTTGGAGCTGCGGACTACCTAACGGGTTACCGAGGCTCCAGCTCGAAGCAGGAATAGTAACGGGGTGGTTTTTAGTCAGTAGGAGTCGGACACTCTCTCTCGCTTCACTTAAGGCAGGAGAAGTCATTGGATGATTTGTCCCTCAAAAATAAAGTAATAATAACAGAGTCTATAATTGTGCTCTGCCAAAGGTGTAGCAAAAGGTTTAACTCTCATTATATAAAACACGACATTAATAACCTCTTTGATGTCCTACGCAGTGTTATACTAGGCTAAGTTAAATCAACATCATTCTATTCCAGCTGTACCCTTTGGCAAGCTGCCAGTTCTGGAGGTAGACAAGAAGGTGCTCTACCAGTCTGTGGCTATCAGTCGCTACCTTGGAAAGTTAGTAGGCTTGGTACCCGCTGATGACTTGGATGCAGCTGAACTAGATGCTATTGCGTTGTCTGTATACGATTTTGGCGCAAGTAAGTACCTACATGCATGTCTAGTGGCAGAATTGTTTTTTTTTTTATTTTACCCAAATTTTTATCATCCTGTGGTTTTGAGTCCTATATTCCTAGCTGATATAGTAACAAAATGAAACCGTTCCGGGCGATAAAAAGTATGTTGTGTAATTTATAGGTACAAAAAAATTGGATTGGATATTTTTGTATTTCATTGTTGTCATTCAAATGATGATAGGTTTTAGCCGTCGATTTATAAAATCCTGGCTTTTTTCGAATCGGAACTAATTATAAATATCAGAGTGAATGCTATATGCGAGGGCAAATAGCAGAGAGTGAAATTGCAGAGGTGCAATTCGCTGCGAATAATTCTACATTCTTCATTGGTCCGTTGCCAGATTTTTGAGGCGTTTAACAAGCCTTCATAGCTGTACCTATATCAAACGAAACTAAATGTATTATATTTATGTATTGTCAAAGCACTGAGATTTTAATCTCTCTTTAATTAATACTATTACATTTTACAGAGGTCCACGAATGGTACCACGAGAGCCAGAAAGAAAGGAAAGAATACTTGCAAGTGGAATTAGAGGACATTTGGCTATCGAAATATCTTCGCGAATTTGAAGATATTGTTCAGAAGAAAGGAAGCTATTTTGGTGGCCAGGTTAGTAACATTATTGGAATTTACGATGGTCATTGCATAGTGTCTGTTTCATTTATGAAAAAGTTAACATAGTTTTTTCTTTCTATGAAACTCAGTTGGAGCATTCGAAATGAAAATAACGCAAAAGCGACATACACAAACAAGCCCCTGCTTTTAAACTAAACATATATATATCAATAAGCTGCCTCTGAGTGCCTCGTTGGCCGAGTGGTCGTAAGTGCCACTGCCGGGCAAGGGGTCTCGGGTTCGATTCCCGGGTCGGGCAACCTATTACTGGATTTAAAAAAAAAACTCTTAGTAGTAGCACGGAGTCTTTGAAGTCGGTTAAAAATATTCATTCACGCAATAAATTCAAGTACCAAAAACTATTTTACTTTTCAGAAAATAAGCTGGGCTGACTTATACTTCGTGGGCATCATCGAGTCCATTGAAGGCATGTGGGGTTCCAAGCTCTTGGAGAAGCAGTATCCATTGCTGTACAGGATTTACGTCCATGTCCACGAGATCCCTGCCATTGACACCTACGTCAGTAACAGACCTCATTACAAATACTGAAAATAATATTTCCACACTCGAATAAATATGTAATGTACTGAATTTATAAAACTGTGTTTTATTCCTTAAGGCTTGAGTTTTAACTGATTTCCTCTATAGAGAGTCTGTATAGACAGGTAATTAAAATTGGAATGTCAGTTTATAATATTAAAATAATCGATTTTTACTACATGCAAATGAATCCTACTACTATTATAAAGGCGAAAGTTTGTAAGGATGGATGTATGGATGTTTGTTACTCTTTCACGTAAAAACTACTGAATGGATTTGAATGAAACTTTACCACAATATAGCTTATACATCAGAATAA